TGAACTTCCACATCAGAAAAGAATTTCTCGTATTTTTGTTATCACGATTTTCACATGGCCGAAAAATCTACTTTCCCCATTCAATTCCCACATCTTACCAAAACCAATTACAAAAATTGGTACATTCGTATGAAAGCCTTGCTTGGATCCCAAGATGCTTGGGATATTGTCGAAAAAGGCTACGAGATTCCCGTGGAGGATTCTCGGGTATCTCTTGCTGAAAAGGAGGTGTTGAGAAAGAATCGAAAGAGTGATCAAAAAGCACTCACTCTAATTCATCAATGTCTTGATGAATCGATGTTTGATCAAATAGCAGATGCTACCACAGCGAAGGAAGCATGGGAGATTTTGCAAAAGGAAATGCAAGGCGTAGAACCAGTAAAGAAGGTTCGACTTCAGACACAAAGGGGAGATTTTGAAGCCATTAAAATGAAGGAGGGTGAATCTGTTTCAGATTACACCGCCCGTGTGAAGTCTATCGCCAGCAAGCTGAAGCAGTATGGGGAGAAAATTGAAGAGACCAAAGTGGTGGAGAAAATTCTACGGTCATTATTACCAAAGTTTGACTATGTGGTGGTGGCCATGGATGAAGCTAAGGACGTGTCAAAAATGACGGTTGATGAAGTCATCGGTTCATTACAAGCTAGAGAAGAAAGACTAAATAAAAGAAATGAAGAATCGTCAGAACAAGTGTTAGCTACAAAAGCTACCACTGAGGAGAAAGAAGGTGCCCGAGGAGGAGGTCAGTACAGAGGTCGAGGCAGAGGCAACAACAGAGGCAGAGGAAGAGGCAGAGCTCGAGGAGCATATCAAAGTAGAGATTGAGTGAATTTCACCACGAACAACTATGAATCATCCACCAGAGGCAGAGGTCGTGGTCGTGGACGAGGAAGAGGAAGTTGGAGATCAAATGAAGGTCGCGATAAATCCAACGTCCAGTGCCATAATTACTCGAAGTACGGGCATTATGCATCGGAATGTTGGAGTATGCCTAAAGAAGTGGAGGAGACAGCAAACAACATGCAAGAAGAAGTCAAAGGAACATTGATGCTATCACATCAAGGAGATGAAAAACCGAGAAATAACATGTGGTATCTTGATAATGCAGCAAGCAACCACATGTGCGGTAAAAGAAACATGTTCGTGGATATGGATGAATCGGTGAAAGGAAATGTCGTATTTGGATACTCCTCAAAGGTTCCTATCAAAGGCAGAGGAACTATACTCATCCGGCTCAAGAATGGCTCACAACAATTTATCAGTGATGTGTACTATGTCCCAGACATGACTAGTAACATCCTGAGTTTGGGTCAATTGATGGAGAAGAATTATGAAGTCCACATGGTGAATCGTCAGCTGGAGCTATTAAATGAGAAGAGGCAGTTGTTGGCCAGAGTCCCAATGTCGAGAAATAGAATGTTCACCCTGAACATTCAAAGTGAAATGGCGAAGTGTCTGAAAGCGTGTGTGAAGGACACTACATGGCTATGGCATCTCAGATTTGGTCATCTGAATTTTGGAGGCCTGAAGTTACTCGGTCAGAAGAAGATGGTTCATGGTCTGCCAGTGAATAATCATCCAGACCAGTTGTGTGAAGGATGCTTAGTTGGAAAGCAATTCAGTGCAAGTTTTGCGAAGGAGTCCCTGTCACGAGCTAAAGCACCACTTGAGCTGGTCCATGCAGATCTCTGTGGACCGATCACCCCAACATCGTTCGGGAAGAACAAATACTTTCTATTGTTCATTGATGACTATAGTAGAAATACATGGGTATACTTCTTGAAGCAGAAGTCAGATACATTTGAAGCTTTCAAGAAATTCAAGATGCTCGTGGAAAATGAAAGTGGCTGTTACATCAAAGCCATGAGATCTGATAGAGGGGGAGAATTTATGCTAAAGAAGTTCAGAAGGTTCTGTGAATATCAAGGAATTCGCAGGTTTCTCACAGTCCCAAGATCCCCACAGCAGAATGGAGTCGTTGAGAGGAAGAACAGAATTGTCCTCAACATGGCGAGAAACATGATGAAGAGCAAGAACCTGCCGAAAGAGCTATGGGCTGAAGCTGTTGATTGTGCAGTCTACCTGCTGAACAGGTCACCAACAAAGAGTGTTTGGAATCAAACACCCCAAGAAGCATGGAGCGGAAGGAAACCCACAATCTCTCACCTCCGAGTCTTCGGAAGTGTAGGATATGTGCACGTACCTGATCAAGAAAGGAATAAGTTAGATGACAAAAGCAAGAAGTACATATTCCTGGGATACTCAGAACACTCAAAAGGTTACAAAATGTTTGATCCCGTGGAAGAGAAACTGATCATCAGTAGAGACGTGGTAGTTGATGAAGAAGCAACATGGGACTGGACTACTGAAGCAAAGAAGAATTATACTTTTTACCATTCACTATGGATGAAAGTGATGATGAACCAGATACAGCTACACCTGTGACAAGTCCACCCAGTCACAGAGAGCCTGCCAGCCCATAAGGAGAATCGAGTGAAAGTCCCCGAGAAAGGCCACAGAAGTATAGGAGACTTGAAGAAATTTATGAGGAAACGACAACCATTGAAGGTGATGAATTGACACTCTATTGTCATTTTATTGATAGTGAACCAGTGGATGTTGAAGAAGCCATGAAGGATGAAAAATGGAAGAGAGCTATGGATGAAGAAATTGGAGCAATTGAGAAGAACAAGACTTGGGAGCTTGTGTCACTTCCTAAGAACTAGAAGCCAATCGGTGTGAAGTGGGTATTCAAGGCCAAGAAAAATGCTAAAGGAGAAGTCGTCAGACACAAAGCAAGATTGGTGGTGAAAGGATATAGTCAGAGACCAGGCATTGACTATAATGAAGTTTTTGCTCCCGTGGCGAGAATGGAGAGTATCAGGATGGTGATATCTCTCGCTGCTCAAAATGGATGGAAGATACATCAAATGGATGTGAAGTCAACTTTTTTGAATGGATATCTCGAGGAAGATATCTATGTGGAGCAACCACCTGGATATATCGTCGAAGGTCAATAAGATAAGGTGTTGAAACTGAAGAAGGCATTGTATGGTCTGAAACAAGCACCGAGAGCTTGGAATAGCAGGATTGACAAGTATTTTCAGCAGAATGGATTCAGCAAATGCCCACAAGAGCATGCACTATACTGCAAGGTGCAAGGGGGAGTAATCTTGATTGTTTGCCTATATGTAGATGATCTTATCTTCACAGGCAACGATCCTCAAATGTTTGAAGAGTTCAAGAAGACGATGGTTCGTGAGTTCGAGATGACAGACATCGGATTAATGTCATATTATCTTGGAATTGAAGTAAATCAAAAGGAGGAAGGAATTTTCATCTCACAGAGTGGTTTTGCCAAAGAGGTCCTGAAGAAGTTTAAGATGGAGAACTGTAATTCTGTGAGTACACCAGCAGAGTGTGGACTGAAATTATCCAAGGATGACAAAGGAGAGAAGGTCAACTCAACGGAGTTTAGAAGCCTTGTCGGAAGCCTGAGATAACTTACTTGTACCAGACCAGATTTTCTCTATGCAGTTGGATTAGTCAGCAGATACATGGAAGCGCCAACTATGTCACACTGGAATGCTGCAAAGAGGATACTGCGCTACATTAAAGGTACAATCGATCATGGTCTACTTTATACTAAGTCAGAAAATTTCAAATTGGTTGGATACTGCGATAGTGATTGGGCAGGAGACGTGGATGATCGTAAGAGCACTACAGGATTTGTATTTTTCCTGGGAGATACAGCTTTCACATGGAGTTCAAAGAAGCAAGCTATAGTGACTCTATCTACTTGTGAAGCTGAGTATGTTGCTGCGACATCGTGTGCGTGTGTCATGCTATATGGCTGAGAAAATTTCTGAAGGAGTTGAGCATATCACAAGAAGAGTCAACTGAAATTTTTGTGGATAACAAGTCTGCCCTGGCATTAGCAAAGAACCCAGTGTTTCATGATCGCAGTAAACACATTGATACAAGATATCATTTTCTGAGAATGCGTGGAGCAGAAAGAAGTGACGCTGATGTATGTGAAGACTGAAGACCAGATTGCAGATATTTTCACGAAGCCGCTCAAGCAAGATGTGTTCGTCAAACTGAGGATGCTACTCGGAGTTATATATAGACAACACAAAAATCAGAAATTGCTAGAACGTGGTATGTGTGGAATTGTGTGGAAGCTTGGTTAGTTGTGAGTTGTGATTAAAAAAAAAAAAAAGAAAAATCAGCACCACAAGACATAGGCGGTTCTCAACTGCCTTCATAAATATGGGCAGATTTTTTAGCGATAGTGAGCCTATAAATAGGCTTTGGATCATGTAATGGATGTTTATCAGAGCAAAAAGAAAGAAAAAGAGCGAAGTAATAAAAACATCTTTGCCTTCTAATTCTTCTCCATTCCTCCCAAATCCGCTAGCCACCATTTCCAAATATATAAACCAGAGAGAGAGAGAGAGAGAGAGAGAGAGAGACTCGCTTGGGTGGTCCCTCCGCTTGTAGGTAAGCCGGCTAGCCGGCTGTCATTTAGCCATTCAAGGGCAAATCGATATATAAACCAAAAACCATTCACTTCCGAGAGAGAGAGAGAGAGAGAGAGAGAGAGAGAGAGAGAGAGAGAGAGAGAGAGATCGCTTGGGTGGTCCCTCCGCTTGTAGGTAAGCCGGCTAGCCGGCTGTCATTTAGCCATTCAAGGGCAAATCGATATATAAACCAAAAATCATTCACTTCCCAGAAAGAGAGAGAGAGAGAGAGAGAGAGAGAGAGACTCGCTTGGGTGGTCCCTCCGCTTGTAGGTAAGCCGGCTAGCCGGCTGTCATTTAGCCATTCAAGGGCAAATCGAGCCCTTCCTCCAGCCAACAAACTATAACCGTCCATTTCTTGTTTTGCTGATGTGGCTGCATACCAACCGTATGTGCACCGTGAACACAAAAATAGCTATGTGTACCATAGCGAAATTGCTAGCTAATTATGTTTTGACTGGTAGCCTCACCACACACCGTTACCTCAACACTTTGTTGTGTTATGTGTAGCACCTCATCCTGATACTATACTGTATGTACAATTTAGCGACTATGTTTACAAAGAACAAACTTGTTCCATCTTAAAAAAAACGGCAACTTGCCAACTTGATATACAAGAGCACTTCACAGTACGAATGACAGAAGCAAATGGGAAGTACCAGGATACCCCATATGCGGTCTTAGCAGGTCGAAATGAGTTAAGTCGGTCGACCAGTTACAGGTCTAAATAGCAAAATGGAACATTAAGAAGACAGACGTAAACCTCAACATCGGATTGGTGCAGTATGATGAACAAAGAAAATAGTAACTGGGAATGAATTGAGGATAAGAAAACTAAAAAAGTAGAAAAGAGAGTGATTACAGAAACAACTCAGTAAAAAAATTGAGATGGCTCATTCCAATTTTCCAGAAGCTCAAAGGTGGTCTATTATACTCCTTTTATTTAGACTCTGGAAGAGACATCAAACAGTAAGGCAATGTTGATACCATAATGGGGGAAAAGGGAAAGAGAAACAACAGAGCACGCTGAAGGAGTAACTGGGATGGAAACCCAATTAACCCATTAGAGCCGAGTTCATCGCACTGTAGACATCAACTCCAATCTGAGCCTCAGCTTTCTCCAGGTCAGTTGATGCCGAGCCAAGCTTCTGAGTGAAATCTGCTAACCCCTTTTGGACCAAGTTCGAGTCAAGATGATCGACCGGTACAGCCTCGACTGCAATCACGTCGGCAACTGAGTTTGCATGAATGAAAGCGAACCCGCTGCTGACAAAGTACTTCGAAACATCATTGCCTTCGTGCACTGACATAACCCCGGGTTTTAGCTCTGCAATGGTGGGGACATGGCCAGGCAAGACACCCATTTGCCCTGTCGTTGCGGGAACGATGATCATGTCAACCTAATAAGCATTAACAATAGTTTATATAAACATTAAGGGAAATAACATGTAACAAAAGTTTGTATAAACATTCATGGATGGATGATGCAACCAAAAATATCCAATGGCATGAAAAAAGCTAACCCAATGAAGGGGCATAAGCATTATGGATCCACTAGATATATTCATCAATGCTTTCAAATCAATGAAAAGCCACCAATCTACGAGATATAGAAAAGCTGTGCCAATGAAGCAGTAGAATTTCACATTCTCATTATCTCATACCATCCACGTATTCAAACTGTCTATTAAACAGCTTCATGTTATGAGGTAAAGAGCCCATTACTAAGAGAAATGAACTACTCCAAGAAGGAAGAAGGCTAGACTAGGGAACAGGTTCACTTTAAGCACGCATAAAGGCTAACTAGAGACCCAAAAGTTAACCAATAGAGAGTTAAATCCAGCAGAAACAGTTACAAAAATGCAGATGTCGTATGCTCTCGGTATCCTGGAGATGCATCCCTCTAATGTATGAATTTCCATAGACGACATGAAACGAGAGAAGTACCGACAGGTTTGTTAGCAGACTCAACCAAAAGGCTCAAATTCCTCCCAGATGCCCCACTGCCAGTTGCTGACTGTTAAATATCCGATTTCAAGACTAGGATCTTCATTGCACATCCTCAAAGGATCTATCGTTTGTTCACACCAATTCCAAGATTAAAGTTGGAAGGTGGAACAACTTTGCAAGACCAACTTCTATCAATACAAGCTCTAAGCTTCAGATACCAATTCAAGCTGAAGCCCAGCTGCAATGGTGGTAACAAACTCGTACCAATGTTACTCGACTAAACGAAAACTAAATCAACTAGAACCCTCGGGAAATACCAATCAAAGGCAATTTGCAGCGATGCAGGCAATTAAGAAACAGCCGAACTCCAGACCCCTATCGCATAACTTCATCAATAATTCATTGCATTTTGTATCCTGCGTATACGAAACAGAAAACCCTAATTGCAGACATCAATCAGAACAAATGAATAGACGGACAATCAAACGAACACCCACCAAATGCAGCACAGCAAACCGAATCAAACCCAGGTGAGAAAACCCCGACGAGATCATCAGACAACCGAATCTGAGGAAGAAAAACCTAGTCGATAAATTCTAACCTCTTTCTCCGCGAGCTGGGAAGCGTAGGGAAGGACGAAATTAACGGTCAGCTTAGTCGGAATGGTGGAGGCTGTGGCCGGGCGAGGCTTCATGTACGAGGAAGGAGTCTTGGGCGGCTCAATAGTCGGGATCACCTTCTTCCAGGATTGGGAGAAAGGCGAATCCTCCGTCGGCGTGGCCGGGACATCGGTGGAGAAGGCGCGAGCGGCGACCTTCGTCTTGGTGTGCTGTGGTTGAGCGATCGATCGGGACAGAAGACGGCTCGCCTGACGAAACATCGTTTTGGCCTGGTCGTCGGCGGTGGGGATTGGCTAAGGAGGACAACGGCGTTAGAGAGGGAGGCGCTCGGTTTGCGACACTCTGGAATAGATCACTTGAAAAGGTTCGCTCTCATTGTGGTTTGGTTTGTAAGATTATATTTATGGGAAAATGGGAAACGCAAATTATCAATGGCTCGTTTATTCCCTTAAAAAAAATGGCTCGTTTATCGTAGGTAGGGTTCTATTAGGGATGGCAATGGGTCGGGTCGGGTCGGGGACGGATAGTGCATATTCGTTACCCTACCCAAAATAGTTCGGGTTTTACCCATGCTCATATCCACATAAGAAATGGGTAGAAAATCCAAACTATGTCCATACCCGTTCGGGTTTCGGGTATCCATGGGTAATAGTTTTCTTTATAACTTCAACCAATATGTTAATATTTACACGTATTCTCATGTTACGTAAGACGAAAAGTACGACAATAATTTACTAGAATGAAGAAAATTAATTAAAACAACACAATTTCATAAAAAAAGTTATATTTATATGCTAAATATAAAATATGTTAGAGAAAAATATTGATTATTTCTAGACAAAATACTTATGCATGTGTATAATCTAGACAAAATACTTTTACCCTACCCGATTAGGTCGGATTCGGGCAGATATCCACGGTTACGGATATTTTTGCCATCTCTAGGCTGTATTACAAAAAAAAAAAAAAAATTCGTAGGTAGGGCGGTTAATGAGTCGAGTCGAACCCAGTCTTATCTTGTTTAGATTTGTTCATTAATAAATGAGTCGAACTCGAGCTCGGCTCATTTATAAACGACCTGAGTCGAGCCGAACACGAGTTAGCTCATTTATTGAATCTTGGCCCAATTTCGGCTTGAGCTCAACTCTAAGACAATTTATGAATTAAATACCTAATATATATGTCAATATGCGAGACATACTTGTTCACATACTCAAATTATTAAACATCACATGAGGTGTTATGTACAATTTAATAAATATATGCATCATTAACAAACTAACTCATAAGATATAAATCGATTTTCTCATAAGTTGTAATCAAGTTGGATAGTTCATGAGTCACATTCAACAAGCCACCTAATCGAACTAGTTCATAAGCCGAACAAGGTTGAGCTCAAGTTCGGCTCTTTAACAAACGAATCGAGCTTTTATTAAATCGAACAAGCTTTTATTGAGTTCGAAACCGAGCTCTTCGCGAATAGTTTGGTTCATTAACAACCCTGAATTCGTAGGGGTGGGCCGTCCATTCGTTCGAGAATTAATCGATTCTGTCCAAATATCGATTCGGTAAATTGTGACCCAAATTGGTGTCCACTCACTCCTAGTTCATTGTTTTTTAATTATTAATTATTAATATATTCCTACAAAATATTATTTTTTGAATATGTAAAGCATTTTAAGCTAAGTAGATTTGCATTCTCTTATTAATATTTTAAGTTGTTTGCATATTGATACAAAAAATTGGTTGCATAGTTGAAAAACAGATTTTGTTGTCAATCACAGGTCCTGGGTTGGTACTAACATAAACATTTTTTAAACATATTGGCTGGGAGGTTTAAATATGGTTGTTCGGTTCGTCCTATTTAAAGGAAATGACTAATTACCTTATTCGAACCAGTTTAGTGACCGAAACCTGGTCTTACCAATCAGACTAAGGCTGAGTCCAATGCAGCCTGTATTTATGGGGTTGTCGACATTATTGCTGATCTTGGAGTTCCAACGCAGAGACACATCACAGACAACATCATTATCCTCCAGGAAGTGGTCCACTCTCTCAATCAGATGAAGGGTGCTCGGGGCAGTATGATCCTGAAGATCGATTTGGCCAAGGCCTACGACAGGATTAACTGGGAGTTCTTGCAATCCACTCTTGTAGCAGCCAATCTCCCGATGGACTTCATAAATCTGATTATGGGCTGTGTAACCACTTCAAGTTTTCAGGTTCTCTGGAATGGGATTTGTACGGATCCTTTCAAGCCCTCTCGCAGGATCAGACAGGGATGTCCTCTTTCTCCCTACCTCTTTACTCTTTGCATTGAGCGTTTAAACCACTGTATCAAAGAGTCGGTTGATAATGGTCTCTGGAATCCTATCTATCTATCTCACCAGGGACCGGCCCTCACTCATCTCTTTTTTGCAGACGATCTAGTGCTCTTTGCCGAGGCCGATATGAAACAGGGGAAGGCCATCATTGACTGCCTGGATAAGTTTTGTGCTGCTTCGGGGGAAGAAGTCAGTAAGGACAAATCTTGTGTTTATTTCTCTAGGAATACCAAGGATCGGGCCCAGAGAAGAATCAGCAGGCTTTTAGGAATTAAACAGACGAGCAACCTTGGGAATTACTTGGGAGTCCCTGTTGTGCACGGGCGTGTTACCAAGGACACCTACAAGTACATTCTGGAAAACTTGGATAAGAGGCTTTCAGGATGGAAATCACGGAGTCTCTCGCTCGCAGGAAGGGTTACTTTAGCTCTGTCAGTCCTGAATGCGCTCCCGAACTACGTGATGCAAACAGCGGTCCTGCCCTGCCACATATGCGATGTGATTGATAAAAAGATCCGGAGCTTTGTCTGGGGAGCAGAGGAAGGGCGCACTAAAGCCCACCTTGTGACTTGGGAAACTGTCTGCAAGCCAAAAGAGGAGGGTGGTTTAGGCCTTCGTTCAGCCCGCGCCCTTAATCTGGCATATATTATGAAGCTTTGCTGGAATTTTATCAATAATAATAGTGCTCTGTGGATTAGAGTCTTGCAGGGCAAGTATATTAATGCCAATATTGATGGCACTGTCTCTATGAGGCACCAGAGAGTTTCGAGATTGTGGAAAGGGATGCTGGAGGCTTTCCCTATCGTGAAACAGGGAACCACTTGGGACATCCGAGATGGAGAAAGCGTTAAGTTTTGGCTGGACTGCTGGGTGGCGGATGGTGTGGTCCTGAAGGACTATGCGAATGATCAAGACCCCAGCGTGGATTGGAACGTCTCGGTTGCTGACATGGCCGACGACGCAGGTGAGTGGAAGTGGCCAAACTTCGAAAGTCTGCTCCCTCACTCTACTGTTATGCTTATTGCAGGTACTGACCCTCCCAGTAGGGATGCTGGAGAAGACCTGACGACGTGGGGGATGGAAGCTGACGGGAAGTTTCGGATAAAATCAGCCTACACCGTCGCTGCAGAATGGCTTCGAAAAGATGACAATGAAGCCGCTCCGATCCAAGCTAGCCCCAAATGGAAGCAAATCTGGAAATGGGAGGGCCCCCATCGCATAAGATATTTCCTGTGGCTTGCGTTCCATGGCCGTCTGATGACGAACTGCGAAAGGAAGAGAAGGAAGTTGTGTCAACAGGATACTTGTGACACTTGCAGAACAGACCCGGAATCAACAGAGCACGTCCTCCGGCACTGTGCCTATGCTACACAGGTATGGCATGAACTTGGGGTCTCTGACAACAACTTAACTATTGGTTTAAACCTTGCAGATTGGATGGCGGAGCACCTGAAGAACGCGCAAGCTGGTCTGCTGTTCGGAGTTGGCGCTTGGTACTTATGGAAAAGAAGAAATGAATGGGTCTTCGATAGCAAGCAACAAGATCCCTCGACTCTTGCCCAGAGAATTAGGAGCTGGACCAACACTGTCCGCAACGCCCAAGAGAACAATGGCAAAGTACACACGACTCAGCGTGCAAAGACGTCGACTGAGATTGCTTGGAACCCTCCCCCTCCGGACTGGATAGCGCTCAACACAGATGGTTCGGTCAAGCAACCTGACTCCTTGGCAGCAGCGGGGGGCCTTCTTCGGGATAACTCAGGAAGATGTCGGGGAGCGTTTGCATCCAACCTTGGAGCCTGCACGATCACGAGAGCTGAGCTGATGGGGGCGCTTCAAGGCCTAAAACTTGCTTGGCAGCTGGGCTACCGCAAAGTACAGATGCGGACTGATTCCAAGACGGTTGTTTCCATTCTGACTTCCCATATGATGTACGAAGGTCGGTATCACAGCCTCTGGACCCAATTGCAGCAACTACTCCAACAAGATTGGGAGATTGAGATCTCTCACACTTTCCGCGAAGGCAACAAGTCAGCTGACTACCTTGCAAACAAAGGGCATTCTCTTAGTCTTGGCTTTCATGTTATTGAGAGGGATGACCCGGGTCTCAATTTTTGGCTTTTGTATGACTCTATGGGCATTGCCCACTCTCGTTTAATCTAAAGTTTCAGGCAGGGGCGCCCTTTTAGCGTCCCATTTTTCTACCAAAAAAAAAGAGAAATAAATGCCGAAAATTAGTACTTATGGAGGCGATCGGCAATTGGATCGCTATAAATGGGGAAGAGTTTGCTGATTTCGGCATTTATAGAGGAGGAGCTGTCTGCTGCGCGGCACAACCGCCAGGGGTGGGCGGTGCGCCGCACGCGCAAGGGAGAGAGCATGCCGATCTTGGAGTTCCAACGCAGAGAAATAAATGCGAAAAATCTGCAATTATGGAGGCAATCGGCAATTGGATCGCTATATATGGGGGAGGGTTTGCCGATTTCGGCATTTATGGAGGAGGAGCTGTCTGCTGCGCAGCACAACCGCCGCGCCCAGCCCCGGCGGCTGTGCCGCCAACAGTTTTTTTTTAATTGTTGTTGAGTTATTTAAGGAAATTGATTAAGGGAATTGAATGTAATTAATTAGGGGAAGGGAAATTAATGTTTTTATTTAGGCTTTTTAGATTGTATTTAATTTGTGTTTAATATTTTTGCATTTAGGCTTTTTTTTTCGAAGATGACTTAAATTGAATTCATTTTATTTAAAATTTATGTTTATCATCTTTAAGTTGTGTGTAAACAAAAATTAGATCAAACTAAGAATGTAAATTATATTATTAAAATGAAAATGCGTTCGTAAATTACAAAATAAATTGTCACCAACTACAACTTTAGGTCCATAAATTTCAAGTGTCGTGTGTAAACCCAAATTAGGTCCATAATTTTTCGCCAAAAAAAATTCGGTCTCGAAATTTAACAAAATTCTATCGAAAAATTTGTATTTAAAAATGATGACGAACTATACAAAAATTAACATGAACAAATTATATTAAAGTTTTGATAAGTAAGTTTTTAAATAAATGGAAAAACTGGAAATATTAAGAACCTCAAATATGGAGTTTGTTGCATTGGAGCAAAAGAAGGGAAAATGGGGTTCAATCCCCAAATTTGGGGTTCAAGGCCCCCAAATTTAGGGATTTGTATTGGACTTGCCCTAACAGGTTTGCCTAGTTTTAACAACCATGGTTTTAGCGTTACAATACGTGCTTTCTGTGAATTATACTATTTTTTATTATTTACTTGATGTAGAAAGTAGAAACAATAGTTCAAAATGAATGTTTCGACATTCTCATTTTTAAAGTTGTAGTACTAAGAAATTATTGCAAAACAAAAAGCAAAAAAAAAAAAAATCATCACGTTCGAATTTTTAGCACAAAGTTATGATCGTGTAAAGTTTGGCAAAATCGAAAATTGTTTGTTCGGGGTAGCAAACGAAGTTTTTTTAGGACAAAGGCGGGGCCAAATTGCATGTTCCTTGCAAGATCTCGAAAAATTATGCGAAATCAAAACACTACTATCGGATACCCTTGCTTAATACCTGTTCACTTCCCATTTTTTTCCTGTTTTTTGTTGGCCCAACAAAAATTAAGAAACATAAGAGAAAAAACGTGTTCAATATTTGTCATTTTGATTTTCGTTGGAAAATCAAGTTGGCAATAAGTGGATAGCTGGGAAAAACAACAAATACTAGTTCTCTGAAATATAGGACACGGGTTTCTCGTTGTTTCCTAGCGGAAAATCAGCAATGTAGTTAAATGAAGTTGGGGGTTCGAATCCCCATTTGTATTTGTTTTAGTTGTTGCCCTTATCCACCCACACGTGGCCTTTGGTGTCGTCCGTCAATTGATTCTTGCTCCATCGAGTGGCGAAGAACTTCCACTCCAATATCGGCGTCCCTACTCGACCTTTATCGATTGGTTCCGATTTTAATCATCTTCTCCTAGTTCTAACCCTTGTTTTCCGCACCTCATCTTCTCGAACTAGCCAGGGTGAATGCAAACGATGCTTATTTCCATACCTCTCCGTCCGAAGCTTCATTCGGCCAAGAGAAGATCGTAGCAGTGGAAACTCTTCCTCCTCTCGCCAGAAAACCCTGCTCGAATCTTCATCCTTGGCCTTCGAGAAACTCCAGCCGTCGAAAAGAAGTTATGCAGAAAAAAGTTATGTTTCATTATATATAATTCTGGGTTGAGTTTCATATAATCATATTGTTGAACTGCTGCTCCCAATAATAATTAGGATTGCTAGGGGAATACGTCCAACATTGCATATTTCATTTTCATGTTTTGTATCCTGTTCCCCTTTGAATTATCAGCTAACTGTCCTTTTCCTTCTCGATTCTGATTTGTTCTCAAAAGGAAAGGAATATACGACTGCAAGTAGAGCTGGGAATCTGGACCAAACCGTATGACAAATCGCGGTTTAGACCGTTTGGTCCGGACCGTAAGACCATGAATACAATTTGGTCTAGTCCATGGTATGCCTCTTTACTTTGCAGACTGGGACAGTTTGGTCTGGTCTAGACCGTGGTTTACAGTCTAGACTGTGACCCCAATAATGTGTGGGCTTGCAGCATCAATCCCAGCCCCCAAGCCCATCTCGGCATCTCCAAAGAGCCAAGGCCCAACTCCATTTCTCCACCAATCAATAGCCCATGCAGCTTCCCCATTCCCCAACATTGTGATTTTGTAATTGCGAGAGACCGAGAGACGAAAAGGAAAACCTATAGTAGTCGACCAGTCGCCTCTCCTCCCGTGTTCGTCTGAGTGTCCATCATCCGCTCTATCGCCGACTTTCCAGAAGGCATAAGCTCTATCACCCATTCTCTGTTTGTCGCCATCGACCTCCGCCAACGTTCTCAGGTCGACCTCCGCCATCGTTCGCAGGTCAACCTCCGCCATCGATCTCTACCTCTACCATTGACCTCTGCCATCGACCTTTGATATTGGCCATTGCCATTGACCTCTGCCTTCCATCGACCTCACTTCTCAATTTGCTCCATCGGTGACTAGCCCCTCCAATCTAGAATCCCTCCATCGCGATGAGGTTCCCCTTTGTTTGCCCGATGGTAATGATAATGAACCCTCTCTAATCTATCATTCTCCTGCCTGACTCCATTATGCTTTGTTTCCTTTTTCGTATGACAAAGTGGAGGGGATTTGGTTAGCGATGTTAATATAGTTAATGTGTTTTTAAGTTACTAGCTTATATTTAGCATTGGATAATACATGTTTTTGTTGACACATGGTCTACCCGGTCTAGTCTGGACCGTATAGTTTATGGTCTGATCCATGGTCTCTGTTTTACCCTCTCGGTCTAGATCGAAGACCGTATATATGGTCTGGTCTGGACCAGACCGCACTTTTTTTCAGCCATAACTGGCAAGTGCCATATGGAAGAATGTGGAGAGTCTATAGTATTGATAAGCTCATTCCAAACTTGAACTCAGGCGTGTGTGATAAGATGTTTGTATTTGTATTATGTTTATTATTAGTTTAAAAACAATATGATTTGTGTTAAAATTTATATAAATAATCAAGATTAGTATTGTATGATACTCAATAAAATTGGGGTAATCAAGAACCAAAAACAATATAAAGCAACTAAACAAGTTTTCATTTTCAGAATCCACTTTCAGAACTCACCAAAATTCTCAGCTAAACAAGTTTTCTTCAGGTTTTGTTTCTGAGGAAATGACTTGCACGAAACTACACCACAATAAACTCCCAATTAGAGCCCAACTTTTTAAACTCTAATCGGTGCAGTATAGGGCAAGTATTTAGATATCGACCAGGGCCGGTCCATCTACCCCTACTTCTGTTGTTGAAATCATTATCTAGCAACAAAACTTTGGTTTAAAGGTTCGCTAATTGAAATAAAAGAAAGCAAAGAAAATTTGGTTTGAAAACTCTTTTGTGGGAAAGTCACTCGCGTGTCGCTTTTCCCTAACCGCTAACATGCTATATGGATTGTAACGATTGCCTTGGGCACGTTAATCGTGAACCGCAGAGGAATGCATATGTGGTTGGAGACTAGAGTCTCAATTGCTAAACCGAGGTAAGGATGAAAGGCCGTGTCACTCCACCCTCTCGGTTTACACAATCGTTAATTGACTTACTCTCTGACTCAACTCTAAAGTCGGACAATTTAATCACAATTAATCGACTTGCTTAACACAATATTGAGGGTCGCCCTAACTTAACCTAGTTTAGGTGGCTTAGAAAGCGGAAGGAAAACCAACTCGATTCAGTCTCCCTTTAAAGGGAGATTTTCCTCTCTAAGCTAGGCTAAGGTGGCAAATTAGATTACTAGCACCTAAATGCACAAACCTAGGGGTGCTAAGCACAATTATGCACAATCCTTAGGTTGCTAAGCACCTAAATGCAGAAACCTAAGGGTGCTAAGCACAAAACATGCACAACCCCTAGATTGCTAAGCACAAATATGCACAATCATGATAAATAATGCTTCAATCATTGAATTGAACAATACCCAATGACAATCATCCAAAACACATACAAGAAAACTACATGATAGAGATAGGGTTTCACTACACCCAAGTGAAAGGGGGTATACTCCATGCTAGAAGTGGGAAAAACAAAAGGAAAAAAGGTGGAAACCATCTTTGAGGATGCTTTCAGTCTTCTTAACCCTTGAGTTGAGCTTTCTTTGGGGGAAATCTTCCAAAAATCTGCCCTGAAGCCAAATCCTGATCTTCTTCTTCCTTGTGGTTCTGTTTCTCTCACTAGAATGCTGAAGAAGATGTTTCACACAAAAGTGGGCTCTCCCCTCTCTCCTCCTTTCAGCTCATCTTTTAAACCCGAGATGAGTTGAGTTCACAGCCTGAGTTCACGGCCGTGAACCATGCAACGCGTCCGTGAACTCCGGGCGCGCCAAATCGCTTCGCATCGCTCACATCTGTTCACGGTCAATTGCTTTTGTTCACGGTCTTAGTGATCGTGAATCACATTCCGTCAGTAACCTTCACATTGGCTCTGGACGCCTCGCGATTCACGGTCAACTCCTCTTCTTCACGGTCTTGCATGACCGTGAACTCCCTCAGTTAGCTGTGAACTGGCTCTTTTTCACCTCTTCTCCCAGTTTTCGATCCTTTTCGCCAATCTTTCGACTCCGAGGCTGGTTTCACCTGTTAAATCCTAAAACACACTCAAACATGAAGATCCTAGCGTAAAACCAACCTTTTAGGAGCGAATTTGGCACAAACATCTAAGTAAAACGGGGGCAAAACATGTGCAATTAGGCCCGAATCACTCCCCCACACTTAGACGTTTGCTTGTCTCCAAGCAAACCATTTCACACACACAGTAATATTTCAACCTACACAAATACTTTGGGGACAACTCAAAGGGGCCGATGCGTGAATTCTCGATGTTTATTGACAATCAACACATGAATCGTTGCAAGCAATACCGACATCCACCACAAACGACATTCAAACCCACCAAAACGGGCAAATGAGAATTTCTCAACTTATTCATGGATAAATGCAAGTCTCAACAAAACCGCTTATCGACCACAACCAACCATGCATGGAATTAGAGTATGAGGAACAAATGGAAAGGCAACGAAGGTCCTCACCGGGGTATGAAATGGTAAGTAAAACAAGAATGGATCACTCACTCTCGAGACCAGTGGTGTCGGGACCTTTTTGGTGCAAAAGATGTGCACAATCGTAACCTCTCGGACCTATCGTCTCAATACCACGTCGGTAACCTCTAAACGCTAGAGTTCACGAGATGGTTGTCACCACTAGCTCGTTCGGAGGTCTTAGACACGGGTTTATATGACTAGCGATTGGCTTGGACACGGGGAAAATGCTTTTTGGGTGGTGGCAATCATGACGTGAGGTTCTACATCTTCAACCTAAACCCGAAGGGTCTATGGTTTCGACTAAAACCATGCTCTTCAATCAAACGCCACTATCAACGGCCAAAAACCCTTATCTCTCCCTTGCAACTATCACTCATCATGAACTACCTTGAGGCACTCTTCCTCGGTCAACTCTTGCTAGCTCTTTAAGGTTTGGTAGTGAAGGAGTTCTAAACAATGTGGGGGTTTCGATGGGTTGGGTGCCAAGAAACCCCCTAAAGCATGTACTTTGGTTTTTCGTGGCACTCTCTACTTTATTTACCCTATTTATTTAACTCTTTTTCGTTTCTCTTTTCTTTTCTTTTTTAGGGGGGGGGGGGGGGGTACTAGAGAGTAAAAACACTTGCCACCTAAACATTTAACGACCAATGCTCTCTTTTTGAGGAACTCACTCCAACACTACACTCCATTTTACATTCCTAGCAAAAACCACACACAAACCTCCTATGTAGAACCTCTATGGAAACTCAAAGGTAAGAGCTCCGAGACACACGAGTGACTCATGTTTAGACATGAAGAAAGGATTTGAGGGTCGTTTTACTAACACCTTTAAGCTCACACAAACGAAGCTCCTAAATTGAAAATGACACACGGAGTCACAAGGCTCAAAGGGGTTGACTAAGGGATGATACATTTCGGGACAATCAACGTTTGGGCGTGGACTCATCCTATGGCTCCATCATACTTGCTAGTGACAACTGTGATGCTACACACCATGGTAAGAGGGAACTATCACACCGAAAGAAACGATCGGCTCAAAGCTCACAGGCTACCTAGTTACCCAACCATCTATTCCAATTCACAAACACGATGCATGACAATGGTAAACAACAAGTGATCACGTCAAGACATCCATTCATTTATGCACACCTAAGAACTAAAATTTTGCCCTATCCTAATAAACTTCTCAGTCATCATCATAGGATATACTTGATTACATGCAACAATACAAAAGGCTCCAAGCAACATCTCACTCACACAAGCATACTAGTATACTACTCCCCCCCCCCCCCCCCCCCCCCCACACACACACATAAACTCGACATTTTCCTCAATGGCGTAAGAAAGGGGTAGAGTGATGTTACCGCTTGGGCTTGGTGAGTGAAGGTAGGAATCGAACCGGGGTAGGATAATTTGATCTTCAAGGAGAGACAACAAAAAACAAACACAAGCACAATACGATACGCTCTAGGCGAGGTTATTACAAGCACAATACGTAGTAGTAGTAGTAGTTTATGTCACACACACACAAATAATACAAACACAAACAAAACAAGTTTCGGGTTACAAGTAGAGAAGTGGGGCGAAAGGACTCCACTCTGCCACATGTCTCTCTTGTCGGCTACCTCTCTTTGGTGGATGGACCCTCTCCATCATTGGGTAGGATACCCTGGTGGCGAGCCATAAGCTCGAGAATGTCAGACTGCCGGTCGAGGCGGGATGAGAATCCCATGTAGCTCGTCTCAATGAGATTCACCCTCTGGACGAGGGGATCGCCTGCAACCTGGTGGTGGTGGCTGCTGTTGTGCAGGGCGCGGGAGCGCTGGCGGCCGGGTGCACGAACAGGTGGCTGCTCTGCTGCTGATGGGACCTCGGGGTCGGGCTCCACTAGAGCCGATGCTGCTGCAGCTCGGATGACTCCGGAAGGTCGGAGTATGTCAAGGTACTCCACTCCTCTCTCGCCCTGGAGTATCAGCTTATGGTTATACAATGTCTTCACTGGGAAGGGATCCATCCTTCCGACGCTGGTGCAGCGGGACAGATCCATATGGAAGTGGCGGGCGATCCTCGTGATGATGCCCCCCATATGCATAGTGTCCACCCTGTTCTGCCCCAGGCACCGGGCGAAAGAGGTGGCGATCAACAATCCCAGATGGATAGGCTTAGCTAGACTCCTCATCAAGTAGAGGGAAATGCGCCCTCTGTTCGTCATCAAGGGGCCTGACTGGAGGCTGTTGACAACAGATCTGGTGAGCAGAGTGTGGATAATCCTCCACTAGGTCTTCAGATT